TATATCACAATCCCACCTCCTAACACAAATTTCCCCCCCAATCCCCCTTTCTTAGCACAAATTCTCCCTCAGTTCCCTCTCCTAACACAAATCCCCCCAAATCAACCCTCCTAGCACAAATCCCCCAATCCCCCCTCCCACCACCAATCCTCTTCCTCCAATCCCGCTACCTAGGACAAATTCCCCAAAATCTCTCCTCTAGCTAAAAGCCCTCTAAATTACCCTTCCCAGCATAAAATCCCCCCCCCCCTTTAGCACAAATCCCCTCACCCCCCCCAAAACTTCTTACTGACAGCACATATCCCCCCTCCCATTCCTTCTCTTAGCATAAATCTCCCCTCTCATTATCCCCATTACCCTTCCCAGCACAAATAGCCCCCATCTACCTCCTGCACAAACCTCATCTCAGCACAAATTATTGTTACCCCCCCTTCCCCCTCCTTTCATTGTGTACAGTTCCCCCAGCCTGTAAGTCCTCCCCACTCCCCCCACCCTGGAACTTACAGGTGGGAAAACAGATAGAGGCGTGGGTTGTGCTCTCTCTCCTGTGAGTGAAGCGATCCTCCATACAGCAGATGATACAAGATCGCTCTTGGATCAGGCTGTACACAGTTTGATTACGCCTCCCCCCATCTCCTCCAATGGAGCCAAGGAGTGGATCAAACACTGAACATGCCGATGTAAGAGTGATCCTGTGTCATCTGCTTTTTGGAGGATCACTCCAGTGACAGGAGAGAAGAGCACAGCCCGCACCTCCCGGCTCTCTCCTGTCATTTCTCCTTTTCAGGACTCACTGCTCCAGGCTGCTCTCCCCTTGTCGAAGCCATGAGTGCAGGGATGGGGAAAAGGCACTCAGCGGCCAGGCATAGCGTCCATGGAAAGACCAGCCTGTGGAGGGAGGGAATGCACAACTGAAATCTGGGGTGGGTGTAGCCCACCCAAGCACCCCTTAGATCCATCCATGGCAGAGAGTCGGGCAACCAGCAGCTGTGGCTGTGCCCTAGATGGCAGTACTCCCTAGGCGGCTGCCTAGTTTGCCTAGTGGTAGCACTGGCCCTACCCCCTCAGAATGATAACAGCAAATGCAGAGCAGAGGTGACCCAGATATCTCATCAATAGGGTCCTCCAGAGATACAAGACATTGGCAGGTGGTTTAGGTTCTTTAACTTCCACCAAACACTGACATTTTGGGTGAAATTACTTATTAAATTCAGTGAATAGACACAATAAAAATATGCCATGCAGCCAACAAAATGAGAAATATGACCACAGGTCTGCAAATGGTGGTAGGATGTCTTTAAAACCCAAACCCAAACCTTCCAGTATGTTCTGGATGGTGCAGAAAACAGTTAGAACCCTTTTCAGCTTCTTATCTCAGCCAAATACCTCACTGGAGAGATTCCTCCAACTTTCTGTCCTATTGGCAAGAACATTAATAATGGCTATACTTGTAGGCAGGTGCAGTTAGCTAGTCTGCCACTAGGTTGCTCTGTTCCAGAATAGTGTCTAGATACAGAGGATAGTGTCATCAGGTGTTAGCTCCTTTTTAGCTAGAGCCCTCCTATTGTGATGCCATGGGCGAGTCAGGACCCAGATACAAGCCAGGTGGGGAGGAGCCCTAGTGCAATTTGGGCATGGGAGTCAAACACTCCACAGCTATGCGGAAGCAGCCAGCAAGAGGAGGCCTTGGACATGGTTGAAGGCTGGGGAAAGGTAGACCTTCCCCCAGATGAGCTGGCAGTAGACTTTCTGCCCCCTAAGGAGGTGGGGGCTAGGGCGGGTTTTAGGCAAGGCCAAGAGTTCCATGAGTGAGGCTATCTCCCTGGGAGATCCCAGGAGAGGTTTACCTGCAGAAATCCTATCCATAGCTACATAGATAGTCCAGCTGATAAAAGACAAATGTCCATCCAGTTCAACCAAAAAAAAGTTATAATCCTACACCCACAGTTGATCCAGAAGAAGGCAAAAAATCCAGCAAAGCATGATCCAATTTGCTCCTTCAGGGCAAAAAATTCCTTCCTGATCCCCCGAGAGGCAATCGGATATTCCCTGGATCAACTTTACCTATAAATGTTAGTAACTAGTTATATTGTATCCCAGTGAGTACGAATGACCTTGGTTGGAGAAAGACTGTTTGAGGGAAGATGGCTTACTTTATTGGCTGCACAATGCTTTCACATGTGACTACTGCGGGCCATCCACTAAATGTGATTGAAAATGTACTGTCAAGCAACCCCGGAAAGTATGTCGTTGTGATGTGACTCTTTATGCCATTTTCCAATGCCACCAGTAAAGCACAGCAACTCTGTTTATGTGTGGACATTCCTTCCTTAGGGGGTATAAAGGTTAACAGTTGGGAATGTTGGGAGGATGACTCTGGCATGGAGTGGGGCACAAGATGGCAGAGGGTGAAGCCTCAGCTGGAGGGTCACTGTTCTAACAGGAGAGGAATTGGGAGGCAACTTGTACTCTTGATGCCAACACCTAAAGAGTTTCAAGCACCTACTTACATACTTGCATATTGAAATAGATCTACACTAAACAGTCTGGCTATGGGTCTTGTATTGTATAGCAGACCAGCTGTCAGAATACTTGAACAGCGACTGCATTTCGTTGGATGCCGTTGCTGTTTGGCCACCACTTTTCTGCAAGTTTTATATAGTTGGGCAGAGTAGTGCTGACAGGGCCACCCACTGATCCAATTTGCTCAGTATTTGGCCATCCTAATGTGGAATTAGAAGTGGCCCTCCAGGAGCTTTTAGCCATAATGCACTAGTAACCACTGCACTCTATGGCAAACTTACATCACAAGAGCATTTCCATCTTCTCCAGGTCCTCTTTCTGGGGTTGGACTCCTTGGCTGTTTGGATAGCCAGGCTGTGCACACAGGAGTTAGATGGTGTCACTGGTAAATGCCTGACAGTTTCCAATGCTGATTACTTGCAAACAATGTGCTGACAGGAGTCAAACATGGTGCTATGCATTCATCAAGGTACATGTGTTCTACAGCTGTTAAAAAAGGTATTTTAAGGCAGCTTAGTAATTCCTAGAGAAAAAAAACAAAAACATACAAAAACATATGGGGGACCAACCCACATGGAATAAAAATACATTTAAATATATTTTAAAAATATTCTTCCCAAATATATTGACATATATTTGAAATACTACAATTTTGGCCGTATTCAAACATATTTTGAAATATATATATATATATATATTATATATATATATATATATATATATATATATATATATACTGTATGTTGAAATGTGTATTACAAAATAATATGAAAAATATTTTTTTAAAAAATATATTTTTTAAATATATTCTTCAGATTTAAAAGTAATTTTAACATATATTTTTACATATATTTGTAAATGCATTCCAAAAATGCAGATTAAATGTATTTTTAAAGACATGCAGTATATTTTAAAAATGTAGTTTTAAAAATATTTTTCATATATTTTTGTGATATATAAAAAAATGCAATTCAACATACAGCGTGTGTGTATGTGTATATACATATATATTTTTATTTATTTATTTATTTTTAACTATATTGAATACGGCCAAAATTGTATTTCAAATATATGTCAATATATTTGGGAAGAATATTTTTTAAATATATTTAGAATATATTTTTCTTCCGTGTGGGAAGTGAGGCCACCCTTGAAGAGGTATTAAAGGAGGACCAATCACAGTGTAACCAAACCAGCTTTAAACTTTATTGAGATCAAAATGATATAAAAAAATTGATGAAAATGACCTGCAATCAGGGGCGGACTGATCATTTGGTCACTAGGGGGGGTCCCCATGAGATGCCCCTGGTACCTTTTTCATAGGCTTTTTTGAGTTTGGGCAAGGACACAGGGGCCCCATCCCCTATTGCCCGGGGGGGCCCCATGAGTTGTCAGTCCACCCCTGTATATATATCATTATTATTATACAGGATTTATATAGTGCCAACAGCTTGCTCAGCGCTTTACAAAATGAAGGCAGACATTACAGTTACAATACAATTAGGGTACAAGAGGAAACAGAGGGCCCTGCTCGTTAGAGCTTACAATCTAGGAATATCATGCATTCACATAAATCCCTAACCCTCAAGGGGCGTACAATCTAAGGTCCCTAACTTACATTCATACATACATATACTAGGGCCAAATTAGACAGGAACCAATTAACCTCCCAGCATGCCTTTGGAGTGTGGGAGGAAACTGGAGTACCCGGAGGAAATCCACACAGGCACAGAGAGAACATGCAAACTCCAGGCAGGTGGTGCTGTGGTGGGGGATTTGAACCAACGACCCTAGGACTGCCAGGTGGAAGGGATAACCATTTAGCCACTGTGCTGCCCCTTCTTTTTTTTTTTTTTTTCTTTTTTTGTAAAGTGAACTAACCGTTTAAGAATTGCTAAGTTGCATTATATGAAATGTTTGGTTTTGGGTTTCATGTTGATGGAACAATCGTAGGGGGAGCTTGCACCGACTTCCGTACGGCCGATCGCTCAGCGAAGGCAGTTTGGACTTGGTCTCAGTCTGCTCGGCCACCTTGTCACATGGCCTCCAATGTGTGTAAAGTAAATAGGAGGGCCGCTCTGCCAGTTGACATGGCAGTTAATAAGTGAGCTGAGGCCAGTTCACCTGGTGGGAGTGCGGGCCAAGGGGAGGAGGGCTGGGAGTCCGGAGGTGGTGGTGTGGAGGAGGAGGGGGATTGGAAATGAAGGCTGTAAGTCAGTGTGTAGGATTCTGTACAGGGAGGGGCTCTGCCACAGTAAAGTTGAGTCCACCTCGCAGACTGTGCTGCAGTGGGCTGGCAGTTCTCAGTGTAACCAGATCAGAGTGAGTGCAGGGGGAGAGGGATCCGAGCTGTGTATGTGGGACACCAAGGCAAGGCTGCAGGAATGAAGGTGACACTCTACTGCCTCCTCCAACTTCTCCTCCTCTGTAAGGTGTCACTCAGCATCAGCTTCAAATATCACCGCTACGAGGACCTGATGCAAAGCCTGTACGATGTGCACAGCTCCTGTCCTTACATCACCAGGATCTACAGCGTCGGGCGCAGCCACCAAGGGAGACACTTGTACGTGATTGAGTTCAGCGACTATCCCGGGGTCCACGAGCTGCGTAAGTACCGGACCATGGTGTCACTGCCAAATCTTTAAACCAGCCATAGATACCTTGTTTTTTTTAACGAGTGGATTCCCACCATTCACACATGTGAGTTGGATGGAAGAATCCTCCCCCGCTGAGAGATTGGGGGGGAAATACTAAAGGCAAATAGAATGTACACTTTGCAGGTTGCTCCAGAGCTTAGTAAATGAGCAGAAGCTCTGCTGACTTCCATCATCCAATCAGGTGCAACTAAAAAGTTATGTTTTTTTATTTTCCATGCACATGATTGGGTATTCCTAGGGGGCACAACACACACAACCATCACAAACACACACACACACACATATCACCCAACATGCAAAGTGAAGCTTCACCTCATTTACTAAGCTTTGGGGCACCTACACTTGTAGAGTGCACAGTCTATTTGCCGTTAGTAAATCAATCCCTGTGTAAGATGAGGACAACCCGAAACTATTCAATCAATATGTATCCAATCAGACAGGCCCTTGTACTACATAGGTACATAGGAGATTGTACAATCAGATGGTATAGTGTCTGGTCAGCCTACAGCCTCGTACACACGATGGATGAAAAACCGCTTTGGGGCACATTGTCCGCTACCCCATTTGCCTTTAATAAATCAATCCCCTTGTAAGATGAGGACAATCCGAAACTATTCAAGCAATATGTATCCAATCAGACAGGTCCTTGTACTACATAGGTACATAGGAGATTGTACAATCAGATGGTATAGTGTCTGGTCAGCCTACAGCCTCGTACACACGATGGATGAAAAATACCGCTTTGGGGCAATTGTCCGATAACCCATTTGCCTTAATAAATCAATCCCCATGTAAGATGAGGACAATCCGAAACTATTCAATCAATATGTATCCAATCAGACAGGCCCATGTACTACATAGGTACATAGGAGATTGTACAATCAGATGGTATAGTGTCTGGTCAACCTATAGCCTTCGTACACACGATGGATGAAAAATACCGCTTTTGGGGCAATTGTCCGATAACCCATTTGCCTTTAATAAATCAATCCCCATGTAAGATGAGGACAATCCGAAACTATTCAATCAATATGTATCCAATCAGACAGGCCCATTGTACTACATAGGTACATAGAAGATTGTACAATCAGATGGTATAGTGTCTGGTCAGCCTACAGCCTCGTACACACGATGGATGAAAAATACAGCTTTTGGGGCAATTGTCCGATAACCCATTTGCCTTTAATAAATCAATCCCCATGTAAGATGAGGACAATCCGAAACTATTAATATGTATCCAATCAAACAGGCCCTTGTACTACATAGGTGCATAGGAGATTGTACAATCAGATGGTATAGTGTCTGGTCAGCCTATAGCCTCGTACACACGATGGATGAAAAATACCGCTTTTGGGACAATTGTCTGATAACCCATTTGCCTTTAGTAAATCAATCCCCATGTAAGATGAGGACAATCCGAAACTATTAATATGTATCCAATCAAACAGGCCCTTGTACTACATAGGTGCATAGGAGATTGTACAATCAGATGGTATAGTGTCTGGTCAGCCTATAGCCTCGTACACACGATGGATGAAAAATACCGCTTTTGGGGCAATTGTCTGATAACCCATTTGCCTTTAGTAAATCAATCCCCATGTAATATGAGGACAATCCAAAAACTATTCAATCAATATGTATCCAATCAGACAGGTCCCTTGTACTACATAGGTACATAGAAGATTGTACAATCAGATGGTATAGTGTCTGGTCAGCCTACCGCCTCATACACACGATGGATGAAAAATACTGCTTTTGGGGCAACTGTCCGATAATCTGATCATACATACACAGCTTTTGAGAGCAGATCATGAGAGTTTTTATTATTTTTTACAGGTATTTCTATAGCAACACCAATTTACACAGCGCTTTACATATATATTGTACATTCACATCAGTCCCTAACCCTCAAGGGGCGTACAGTCTAAGGTCCCTAACTTACATTCATACACACACATACTAGGGACAATTTAGACAGAAGCCAATTCACCTACCAGAGTGTCTTTGGAGTGTGGGAGGAAACCCACGCAGGCACAGGGAGAACATGCAAAGTCCAGGCAGGTGGTGCTGTGGGTGGTATTCCAACCAATGACCCTAGTACTGCCAGGCGGAAGTGCTAACCATTTAGCCACTGTGCTGCCCATGTTCATGTGAAACTATCCGAAGGGACAAGCACCAAAGTGTTTCTCGCACATTACTAGAACTGAGGATTTTCATTTACTCAGTACAGTATTTATCCGAAAAAAAAATCGAGTGACCAAAACCACACACACTCAGAAACAAAACAATTCATTACAATACAATACAATATATGACATCACTTTTAAAGTTGTATTCTGTTGTACGAGAATTTTAGTAACTTTAGTGACTTCTTCATTTTCGATATGAGACCAGCATGCAAAAAACAAAACCGGTTGTTCATTCATCTGATATGCTCATCATGGGTACAGGGCTTAAGGCTCACCATACACATTACTATCTGACCATACAATCTCTGTAGAATCAATTGTGGATCTACCCATAACTATGTAATATGAGGACCTACCTAATCCTTTTAATCACTTTGTATCCAATCAGGCAGGCTCTTCCCTACATACTTGTTGGTAGATCTAAAGGAGACATACAATCAGATTGTAGAGTGTATGATCAGCCTTAATGTGTTACTGAACCCCGGACCCTGCATTCACTATATCTGGTCTCCCAGAACCCCGCATTCACTATATCTGGTCTCCCAGAACCCCGCATTCACTATAGCTGGTCTCCCAGGACCCTGCATTCACTATATCTGGTCTCCTAGGACCCTGCATTCACTATATCTGGTCTCCCAGGACCCTGCATTCACTATATCTGGTCTCCCAGAACCCCGCATTCACTATAGCTGGTCTCCCAGGACCCCGCATTCACTATAGCTGGTCTCCCAGAACCCCGCATTCACTATAGCTGGTCTCCCAGGACCCTGCATTCACTATAGCTGGTCTCCCAGGACCCCGCATTCACTATAGCTGGTCTCCAAGGACCCTGCATTCACTATATTCGCTCTCCCCAGACCCTGCATTCACTATATCTGGTCTCCCTGGACCCTGCATTCACTATATCTGGTCTCCCCGGACCCTGCATTCACTATATCTGGTCTCCCTGGACCCTGCATTCACTCTATCTGGTCTCCCTGGACCCTGCATTCACTATATCTGGTCTCCCTGGACCCTGCATCCACTATATCTGGTCTCCCAGGCCCCTGCATTCACTATATCCGGTCTCCCAGGACCCTGAATTCACTATATCTGGTCTCCCCGGACCCTGCATTCACTATATCTGGTCTCCCAGGCCCCTGCATTCACTATATCTGGTCTCCCAGGCCCCTGCATTCACTATATCCGGTCTCCCAGGACCCTGAATTCACTATATCTGGTCTCCCAGGATCCTGCATTCACTATATTTGGTCTCCCCCAGACCCTGCAGTCACTATATCTGGTCTCCCCAGACCCTGCATTCACTAGATCTGGTCTCCCCGGACCCTGCATTCACTATATCTGGTCTCCCCAGACCCTGCATTCACTAGATCTGGTCTCCCAGGACCCTGCATTCATTATATCCGGTCTCCCCGGACCCTGCATTCACTAGATCTGGTCTCCCCAGACCCTGCATTCACTAGATCTGGTCTCCCAGGACCCTGCATTCATTATATCCCGGTTTCCCCGGACCCTGCATTCACTATATCCGGTCTCCCCGGACCCTGCATTCATTATATCCGGTTTCCCCGGACCCTGCATTCACTATATCCGGTCTCCCCGGACCCCGCATTCACTATATCTGGTCTCCCATAGTAACACTTTAAGCTGGCCATACACGATACAATCTCTGTACAATCTCCTTTACATTTACCAAAACTTTGTAATAGGAGGATAAACCTAAATAATCAATTCAATTTGCACTACACACAAAGGAGATTGTACAATCGGATTGCATAGTGTATGGCTAGCTTTAGACAGAAGCTAATTAACCTACCACTGTGTCTTTGGAGTGTAGGAAGAAATGATAGTACCCAGAGAAAGCCCATGCAAGTAGAGGGAGAACATGCAAACTCCATGCAGGTGGTGTCCTGGTTGGGGACAGGCAGGAGTGCTAACCACTGAGCCACTGTTCTGGTTGGTAAATAGCTCGGCTCCAACTCTGCATAGATGGATCGAAATCGGTCTGGGTCAGCAGGAAACTGGCCAAACATCAGTCCATCTATGGCCATTCTCGCTTGTCAGAGGTCAATCTAATGGTCGACTTTTGCTGAAGGATTGTTGGAAAACGTTTGCTGCTCAGCATGCTGCAGATGGGTGTATTCTGAGAGCAGAGGAGTCCCTACTGCCAGAACGCAATGGTGTTGATTTACTAAAGGCAAATAGGCCGTTGCACTCTGCAGGGGAATTTGCTCCAAAGCTTAGTAAATGAGGGGAATAGTTTTGTTGAAGATAAAAGAGATTATTCAGAGATTGTACACGAAGATTGTATAATGTATGGCCAGCTTGAGTGTCACCACATACTTTACAACCTGCCCATACAATCAGCCTTATACTTGCCCGAATTATGTAATACGAGGACTTACTTAATTTTGTATCCAATCAGACAGGCACACTTCATAGTTGTTGGTAGATGTAAAAGAAATTGTACAATCAGATTGTAAGATGTGTGGTGAGCTTAAATTGGCCCTTGCATGTCTATGTATGCATCTCTGACGGGCACATTAGATGGTACGCTCCGTGAGGACAGGGACTGACATGAAGGTACAAGGATGTGTAAATTGTTGGTGCCATTAAAATACCTGCAATAAAAAAGATAGGTTTGTACATTTAGCCCGGGTTCACCAATATGCTGCAGGAAACGCTGCGAATCCTGTGCATTTCCCCCAACGCATTGCAATCACGTCACATTCATACAATCTGGTGCGGGTGTCAGGGATAA